AGCCCTCCCTGACCCCTGTCCGCTCCCCCATGGCTGCCCCTGCCCACTCTAGCTCCCGGTACTTTAAAAAGAAGCCCTGGTGCTTACTGAGTGCTGCCAGACAGGAGGGCAATCCCCGCTGCCCCCCACCCCATGCTGCATGGGGGGGGCTCTGCTCAATGGCAGAGTTTCCATTGATTGTGATGAGGCCAGAACTTTGCTTGATATTGCTTAAGATATTTTATTCATTTTATATTCTTAAATGTGAACCCTGAGGCATTACAGCACATCCCTGGGAATCTGCTCTTTTGCCGCATAAGATTGTTCCTATATTGTATATCCAGGCTCTGTGCAAACCACTTTTGTGCTGACAGTCAGTCTATTGAGGATTAAAATTGTGTTTGCTACTGTATTTCTAGAACAGGTGCTCAGAGAACCCCACTCATGCCTTTCAAGTGACAAAGAACTTTTTAAACATGTACTATTAGGTCAGACATTCAATTCTGTAACATTAGAAGGTCACACCGAGACTCTCTGTGATGTTTTCCAGTCACTCTATGCTGCTTTCCTTTTGCAAAATGGGACAAGTTTAGGAGTTTGGTTAACTCCTCAAGCCCACTGCCTCTATTGTTATGCGTTACTTGATGAGGATGACACCAAAAACTGGGCAAACACTAAAATACTGAGAGAGGTCTAGTGGTACAGTATTCCAGACCAAGAAGAGATACTGGATATCCAATTTAGAAATTTGCATAAGACTTCTAAATTCGAGAGATGGAGACTGTCAAAGAGGAGAGAGCTTTTTTTATGAAGAGGGAAAAGAGGTAGTTAGCCATGTGTTTCAAGCCAGGGAAAAAAAAAGGCAGAGAAGAGTGGCCCCGCATAGCCTAATTCAGAGATGCATAAGATTTTGTGAGTAACATCTCACTTCATAGTATCACATCAGATACTATGAAGGAGTTCAACTCTACTCTACCTTCTGTGAAAAGGAACTTATTTTACATTTGATCATCCTGGGATACGTTGCTCATTTGAATGGGAACCGACTGGCTTGCGTTTGCAGAGAGGTGAGGACCATTGTCCTAATAAAGTCAGAAAAAAATGAATAGATGCAAGCCATCTTTAATCTACATGAACGTGAATTTGCAGGAGTGTAGAGATCAGAGAATTCAGTGGAATTATGCAACAGTAATAAGCAAGCAAGCAAGGGATTTTAATATGAGCAAGCATTTCTTAGGGCCTTTTAGCGATGACATTTAGGTCATAAAAAAAACAATTTCTAAGGAGAGATAACTATGAAAAGTAAATCCAGAGGCCTAGCAGGACATAATGCTGCATCCCTATAGAGATTTAGGGCCCCTTTGTGGTTTACAGATCAGGAAATGATCACTGAATCTGTTCCTAGCTAATGAAGACAGGGATTGCTCTTCAAGTTAAGCCCATGCTATCAACAGTGGCTTCAGAGAAAAAGAAAAATACTTGATGTTTAAGAAGGGAAAGCCCTCATTTCCCTGCAGTTAGGCTATTTTTTTTTTTTAAATAAATTTCAGACAGAAAATTTTTAAAAATGTAGCATTAGACTTAAATGCTACATTACTTCTTGCAGAATGAAGAAAAAACCCTATATTTGAAATGCTGAGTTGAACAATTTAAGCTTGAGATGAAAACATCCAGATCCCTTGAAGCGCTATACTCAACCACCTTTGTGTACAGTTGCCAGCATTTGAAATCAGTCTTATTTAGGATGACAAAAAGTCACATCAAATCAGCCTTTGAGCCAGTCACTCAATATCCAAAGAAGAAAAAGAAGCTTTAACCAGCTAAGCAGGCTTCTAGTTAGGCCATGGAACAAAAATCTTTTCGTACTTCTTTAGAAACATAACACTGGAAAGGACCCCGGGGTGATCTAATCCAGTTACCTAACAATTACTCATGAACAAAATGCTCACTAACAATTACCAGCCCCAAATTATTCATGGCCAGTTTAGACCTATTCCCCTTCACTCATGTGCCAGCCTTGTCTTTTACCATAAATAGCTGTTCTCCTGCTCGCCTTTCTGCCTATCCCAGTATATTTAGAGAGATCAGTCATATGCTGTCTCAACTTTTATTTTGCTAGGCTTGTGACCATTCTGAACAAGTCAGAGAAGAATCGCTTTATAGTTTGTTTTTTGAGCCTAAGAATCTTGTGTGGGCTGCACACATGTGTGGATGGACAGAAGAGATGTGTTCTTCACTCAGTAATGTTTTTATTGGGTCTGAACTAGAGCAATGTGGTGAACTTTCCAGTTGTAAAACACATTAATGTTTCTTCTAGAAATGTAAGTGAACCTACAGAAGACTACCAAAAGCAACCGCTCTTTAGCAGTCCAACCTCTACCTTCTTAGGCTACTTTTGCACTTGTGCGGTTTTTGGGAAAAGCTAAGCATTGCGTATGCGCAACATTTTTGCTCTGTGGGAGAAACCATGCATTTTACTATTTTTAATGGCAACGTTTCCAGTGTGGACATGTGTTCATTAAGAAACATCGTTCAAGTGGCAAGAGCTCTGTTAAATTATCTTACCAGCTTCTGGGTCAGTCCTGGAGGAGCCCACTCATATGTTATAGTGTCAAACGTTGGATCTTTCCGAGACACGATAGGGTTGGTGATGATCATGCGATTCCTTTTGTAGATACGAACTCCATCCCCACCTTTCACCCTGGCGGTGAGCGTAGAGTACTTTGACTCTGATAACAAGCGGCCAATTTTCCGGTCATCTTCTGCATCAGAGCTGAGGCTGTGATCTTCCTGGCTACATTTACACGACTTGCATATTTTCCTGTGGGTGACAAGTGAGATCATCCTTTTGGTATAAGCTGGACCTCAGTAGGCATGTGCTCTTTCAAAGGCTCAACACTGAACTTTAGTAACTTGAAAGGTTAAATATCAAATCAGACTGTGACACTAGACAAAAGGCTTTTGTGATGCCACAGCTCTGTTTGGGAATTCAGCATGATAGGCCTTGAAGGAATTTGCAGTGGTGTGGAATATAAAACTTACTGCCCTCCCTGGCGAAAGCAGCAGATATACAGTAACAGCACACACACCGATCAACTGTTCCTTCTAACCTGCTGTGACTGAACAGTCAGTTTCCATGAACTTTTAAGGGATTTTTAATCTCAAGGCAGTACAGGTCTTCAATAGTAAAGTGCTAGCCTTTGTTACCAAGGTAGCTCTTGGAGAAGAGGAGCAGTTTACGTGCTTTTCATTATACTAATCCCTATAAGAAAAATAGAGCGCCATGCTGCCGTTTCTTGGTAGAGATATTTTAAAGCAGCTCTAAAAGGAAAAATAGGTTAAGTTCGTTGTTCGTGTCTTGCCAATGACTGAGGAATTTCACATCAATCATTTAATTTATGATTTTGCCTGTAGTTGGCAAATCAGTTGAAAAACCAAAGTAGTGACTCAACTGAATTTCAAAACTCTTTATGCATCCTCAGTGCTGAAGTCAAGAACTCAAGGCTGTTTAGAGCAAAGTTAGAGACCATATTCTTGACATCTACTATATTATTTAAGCATAAGTAACACATCTATGGAGGGTGAACTGTGCAGTACTTGAGTGCACAAATGCAACAGTGTACTAAGCTGCAACATTTCTTGCAAGAACCCAAGGGAGAGATGTTGGATTCATAAAGGAGACAGCTGCATAGTTTATTAGCGTATCAGTTCAATTTGAACTCTGTTCAACTAGCAGAGAGATGTACCCACTATAAATGTTTAGTTTTTCTTTTTATTTTAAGTGATGTCACTTTTATATCATTCAGAATACAAGGAAGTGAGTAACTGTTCATTAGTTTAGTATCTGCTCTGCTTAATTAGGTCTCAACAGGGGTGCATTTAGATACAGCTCTGTTAGACATTGATATTGTAATGGATATTTGCCTAAAGCTTTTTCTTTTTAAAGTAAAATATTGAATAAAGTGTCTGGAAACAAGATCTAGTTCTGGCACTGAACATCTTGTTATGCTGCAACAGACTACTTAGAGAAGTTATATATCCTTGTCACTAGAAATTTAATTGTAGGATAAATAAAATATCATTTCAGTGAAAAGTAGATTTAGGATAGCTAATGCCAACATATACACTTTAATTGCTGATGAGAGGTGCAAGTGTTGCTAACTTCCTGTAAAACAAAACACTTTAAACCACTGCTCTCCCCTTCCCCCAACCATTACCCTGGTGTGTCATCAAGGACAGAAGTGACAGTGACACAGCGCATGTTGGAACACTTCTTCAGGAAGCATGGAGTTATCCTTTTGGCTCAGACCTCCCTGCACAGAGAGTGAGCAATGGCATACAGCATTTTCTTCTTTTTTAAAGTAGTTTTCAAATAATTAGGTCTGCAGCCCCATGTATGGCACACAGGATCTGCGTTTCAGTAAATAAACCCATATGCAGTGCATCAGGTGGCTAACATCTGAGTGGAGAGCATAATTACTTTGGCACCGTGCCCCCTCCTGCTGTACCACTAAAGAGCATCAAGCATGTGTCTGCTGTTTTGCAGTTGGCAGACACCATGAGAGGATGTTGGCTCTTTCAGCTGCTTCGCAAAGTTAGGAGGCAGCAAGCTGTGCCACGGTTGGACAAAGAAAGTCCACCCCCGTTTAGTATCAATGGATTCTTACCCTTGTCTCCACCCCCCAGGCGATGCTGAGGCAAAAATGAATCATTTCATTTCATTTACACAATTAGGAGCATCACGCGGACTTCAAAACAGAATCTATCCTGGGACTTAGAAGGCATCTAAAAACCTGTCCAGGAAATCCATGCCACAGCACAATCATCTCTTGCGAGCAGTGAGGCATGGATTCGTTATGAGGAATGCAAGCTGGCTGTGTCTGCTTTTACACCTGAACTTACATTTTATGTCAGAGTTTGGCTTTAGCTCAGACCCTGCTGCGTCACGGGCCCTGGGTCACAATCCAGGTTTTTCTAGGGGAGGGATATTGGAGTTTGAAAGTTGCCTGGCTCACAGGCAGTAAATTATATGAAGCTGCAGAGTCACGAAGCCAACAGATCAGTGCCCTTGTGGAAGTCCTAGCAAATAAAGAAATGCCCCGTCTCCGTTAAGTTAGCACCTGAGAGGCAAGTCTAAACAGCTGTTTAGGTACCCAACTTCTATTGAAATCAATGGGAGTTTAGCATCCAGGATTGGTCCCTAAGCACATCCCCGGAGCTCGCTCTCTCCTTGCCAATCTGCAGAACAAATAGCTGTATTAATTCTAAGCTAGGCTCTTTTGTGTGTGCAAGTTTGATACAGCTCCAAATGCATCAAGATCTGCAGTCATCTGCTGGAACCGATTCCAGAGTCTGTGGTCTGGTGAAAGATGCATCTCCCATACTCCTGGCTGGGGGAAGGATCAGGGGTTTTAAAATAAAGTGGTTTGTGTTGTGGTTTTGGGGTTTTTTTGTGGGAAATGTTTGGATATGTTATTTGTGATTATTTGGTTTCCCCTCATTTTCCTGTTTCCCCTCCCTTCCTAAAGACCCTAATGGTATGACTGGGATCTCAGGGACTTCACTTAAGCATAGGATTAAATTTAGGATTTTACCCTGTACAAAGAGTGGCTATGGGGTATGTTTACACTGCAGTCAGAGTGTTGCATCTGAGTTACCTTTATCTCAGATGGCTTTGCAGCCTAGATGCAGCAGCAATGAGCTGCCCACCCCTCCATAAAGCAGGACAGGAATGCTCAGGTTATCTGAACTCCATGTTGCAATGGACAGATCATAGCAGGACCAGTTTAAAGGCCCTTTAACAAGAGTTAAATGAATAAGCAAGCATTATTGCACGTACCAATGCATCACTGTTTCTCTTTGTTATAATGCTTGAAGTCTATCAGCAATCATGTCAGCGAAAGGGGAAGAAGAGGCTAATAAATCACAATGGCGCACTAGATTAACATAGTACGGACTCAGAAATCCTCTGCCAGTGTTGGTTCACCTACGGCATATTGGCACAGTACTTTATAAATTTTGGGAGGCACCCAAATCAAAAAAATTAGCCTGTTAAAAGTCTATTTTCCTTTGTCTTGCAGGGCTTAAAAGGCAGACAGGATAGTCTTACAGATTTAATATTACAGTTCATTGTATTAACAGCAGGCAGTCGCTCCACAGCTGTTAGAAGGGATTCTTGGCTCCAAAGCAGCTATAATGTAGATGAAGCAGAGGATCTGTTATTTGTGTAAGATGATGTATCACTTAAGCTTATAGTAATGGTTGGAGTATCCTCCCATCCGTCATCCAAATATCACTTTGAAAATAGTCCTAGGTAATGCCATATCTTCAAACACTGTGTGTGGAATAAAGCTGTTTCTGTCTTTTAGAAGCAGACTGTAAAGGCACCTATAAATGGAGCATCAGTTCCTCACAATGAAGATATCATTTATATGAAAAATGCATTCTTGAAACAAAGAATGAACTAAACAGATCCAGTTCTGTATGCCTGTTGCCAGTGACCTCCCACTAATACTGAGAAGGGAAAAAATGAGGGGGAAGAATAGGATTTTTAAGAAGTCTATTCATTCTCTCTTGATTGTGACTACCCACAACTTGCAGCAGTCTCAAGTCTCAGGGCTTGTTGTGCCAGCTGCCCATGGCCATTCTTCTAAGAGAAGACTGTCAAACAAATCACAGGCATGTCCAGACCACACACCCAACACCAGGAGCTCTGTGTGTGGTGTGGGGCAGCAGAAGAGGAGTCAAGCTTGTCAACATGCAACAAACATTTTCTATGGAAAAAAAAGTTTCTCTTGACAAAAGGTTTGTTTTCCCATGAAAATGCTGGGATTCTTTTTTAAGAAAAAAAAAAAATGTACTGAAAGGGGTTTTTTTTTGGAAATTAAGGGTAGGGGGAAAGTTTGCTATTCACCCCTTTTCTCCTTAGAGTGAGGCTGAGAAGTGATGGCTAGAAAGTGGTATTTAGAGGTTTGCTTTTGGGAATTGGCTTATAGGTAATATATATATGCATTAGAACAATAGTTCAGGGTAGCAGCAAGGGTTAATTGATTTCTAAAGGCCTGATCACACAGTTCTTGCAGCCTTTAAGGCAGACGGGGTGTCTAACACAAGGCCAATGGATATACACATAGCCTGGGAAATTGTGGGCATATACCACACTGTTCTATATCATGAGATAAAGTGGCACTAGCTCACAAGGCCCCAAAGTGGGGGCCTGAGAGTTTTAGTCTTGGGGGAACAGACCAAATTAAGAGAAGACCTGGAAAGCCCAAATTCGGATGTGTGCATGTGATGGGCATGTGAACCAAAGGAGTATGCTGACAGGACAGAACGTGGACAGTATGACGACCACAGAGAGACCATTCATCGATAGCCACAGATGAGAAGCCATCAGGAGGGGAAAGGAATAAAAAAGTAGAGACTTTAGAGCAACAGGGGAGTTCCCATCCCCAAGAGGGGAACCTGAGGCACATAGGCTGGTGGTATGCCCTCAGTTCATCTCATCCATGCCACTGGGGAGGTGGAGGGGGCGGCTTCAGCCTCCGACCTCCAGGCTGCTGACATCTGACATTCAAGACAGAACCTCAGAGTGAAGCTCACATCCTGACCAGATGTACCTTGACTCTGATGACAGCCCTAGGGTTGGTAGCTATAGAATTGCTTGCATTATTTTTTTTTTCTGTTATCACTGTGCATCAATAAATTTGCCTATTATCGAGTGGAAAGGTCATGGTTGGTCTGTGGGTTTTGGGTCCCCCCAGAACATGGCATCTGGGTCCTAAAGCCAGTGCCAACAAGAAGGAAACATTTGTGGCAAATTGGAAAATCTGGTGAAAATCCTCATTTTGAGACATGGTTTTGAAATGGAAAAGCATTTTAACTATCTTCAGAGCCACCATAGCAGCTGTTACATTTCCAGAATACATCTTTATCCAGGAGAAGAACTAAAATAGCTGACCTGCCATAGCACCTGCAAGTGCCCAATAAAGAAATGAACAAGAGGGAGAATTAGTGAGAAGTGTTAAGTCATTACTCCCAGGATTCTTTTTTCCAGAGAATACTGTAGTTCTTTTGGGAGAGGATTAGCTACAGAAAAAGGAAAAAGAGATGGAGAGAGTGACAGGAGAAGGTCCCAAAACTGGCTCTAGCCCTTATTGGTTTCCCTTGTTCTGCAACTTTGCAAGAGCTACACAGGTAAAACACTTATCAATTCTCCTCTGCATTGAAGATTATGGGAGATAACATATAGAGAAATCCTAAAGAGACACATTGAAAGGCAGAGCCCAAACAGAAGATGAATTACCTCCAGGAATGTGGCTCAAAGCCTGTACACATCCCTCTGCATCGTAAACAGGGCACACCTCTTCCTGACTGCTGCTGGCTTACAGACATCTGGAAGGGAAAACAGAAAAATTAGGGGTTTTTTTAGTTTTTAAAAGAAAAGCAAAGGATCCTGGGCTCATGTTCCTTTATTGTATATTGTTTTTGAAGCATGTTGAATCCTTTACAACTATCCCTTGTGCATTTTGAAAGTTCAAGATAAGTCATGGAATACAGTTGTTCAGTACTTGCAGTTGGTTTGCTCAAGAGTTCTGATCTTGAATGGACACAAGAAAGGGATATGGAGACCTCTTTGTGCTGTCTGTCAGTACTTCCATCATCCATTATAAATGAACAGTGGGCTAGAAGTTTCGCTTTTATCAGTTGATCCCACAAAGCATCAATCCAACTGGAGACTCTGGGCCAAAGCTAAGCTTCAGGCTTTTCCTTACCACAGCACTTAAAACAACCATTACAGTGCAGTTGGTCAACTTTAAGCAAGTTATTACACTGTGTATAAAGGCAGATATCTTGCATCCAGCCTGCTGTCAGGACAGGCAAATGCTTTTTGCTGAATTGATCAAGTTGGGGGCTGTGTTTTGATAAAAGTTGCAACTATACAAGTTGGGAGCTGGGCAACCACAGCCTGTGATACTTTTGCATGGACAGAATCTCAGCAAGACTCAAGGAGTTAAATTCAGTGCCAACTTTTATACTATCTGAAAACAGAATGAAGGCAATATAGCTGCATGATATACCAGAACTGCATTAAGAATCTTTCTCCTTTAGCCAATAGAAAGAATGCTTCCCACCCAGCCACATTTTTCTTGGTAGTTTATTTTCAACATGGGAACAATTATTCATTTGTATAGCTTCATGCATTGTAGCTGACTACGGCTTTTTCTCTCCAGCTTGGCTGGCCATGTTATTTGCCTAAAAACTGTAGGTTCAAAGCCAATGCCCTGTATGAGCAGATTTTTTTTTCCTTTTTAAATTAAAACCTGACACATCACTTGCGGCCTCTCCCTTCAGTTTGCTTCTTCCATCTTCACTTGTTTCACTACTCTGGTTGCTCAAGTTATATAGACAAGTGCAGCTTCATATGCTACCTTTCCCTGGGTGATGCTCTTTGTCCACTCAGCCCCCGTGGCTGAGAAGCACTGCTCTAGTACAATGGTGGGGCTCTGATCTTAGTTGGGTTCTCTACAACCCTGCCAAAGGGCAAGAACACGTCTCTCCCTACTGAAACCAGAAAATAAATGTATTTTTGTGTAATATAAAATGTATCTATAACATGTTCACTTGGCGGCATCTTTTTCTCCAATAAGACTAGAAATGAATGGGCCTATTACTTGGTAGGATTATTTATATTTCATGCAAGCCCCTCATTTTCAATCACAATTGAACTCCAGGCAAAGAAGGAATTCTCAGGTTTTTGTTCAAGGTCTCACCCGCGGCTGTTTTCTGGTGTTTTCTAGCACGCTTTTTTTGTACAATGGGCAACCAATATTTTCCTTCATCTCATAAGGGTACTTTATTTCTACATGTACTTGCATGAGAATCTGATTTTCCAACTGGATACAGTGGAAACACCAGCAAGCAGCGAATGATTGAGATGCATGGTTGTGATTCAATACTAAAGCTCATTCATTGGTATGTAGATTTCCTTGTACAGAAACTCAAATGTATTTTGAGAATGTGGCATGTTTCCACATTTCGGGCGTTATGTTTTATGGATGGTTTCCATGGTGAACAGGAAACATGGTGGGGGGAAGAAATAAAAGGCCCCAGGGAGGAAAGGCAAAGAAAAAGAAGTGTGACTGTGCTGCACGTTGTGCTTTTCATTCAAGACAGACAGTCTAAATATAGATATGGGAGCCCATGGCTGTACATGGAAGGTGCTGTCAAAATGGTAGTTTCAAAATGAGAGAGAGACCAGTCTGCGATCATTTGTTGATTAAAAAAAAGCCAATAAGATTATTAGTGCTTTTGCAGTGAAGATTTATCAGACATGACTACTTGAATTTAAAGAATGTAAAATGCATGACAGGTGCCAAGAACGAAGCAGTTCCAGAGGAAATATTATGGAGAAATGATACCCTGGAATGCTGAATTTATAATCAGGCTTGTCAGGTCTAACTGCCTTCGAAACTTTCTCAGACTCTCAGCTCTTAAAAGACAGTTTGTCTGAACTGGCAGCAAGTCTGTAACAAACCAATTAAGAAATATTCATAACTGGGTTGAGGCACTCCCTTTCCCAAATAACGATTGATCGTAAATAAGATTCATCCCTGTGTTTTGTTCTATCTTGTCATTTTTGGACCCTCAGAGCTCACACCCAGTTCAGTATTTTTAAAAGTGACACTTGCTCACTGTCACCTATTGATCGTGAGCAATGTTGTCTGGCCAGTGACAGGAGATGTCTCAATAGAGAACCCAATTAAGATCAGAGCTCCACCATCGTGCTAGGCCAGTGCTTCTCAGCTGGGGGGGGAGGGGAGGGGGGGGCAAGAGTGGACAAAGAGCATCACCCAGGGAAAGGTCATTAGCTGGCGCACTGAACTGATTTTGTTGCAGCCATATTCAGGTGAAAAGAAAAAACAAACACAAACCCCACTGTTTACAGGGCAGACAATTAACTCGCTCCATCAGTCACTGAATCCACCCCATTCCCTTCCTGACGTTAAATAACTTTCTTTAGAATTCGTTCTACTTTTGTGGCAACGAGATCTTTCTGACAAGACGTGCAGAGACTGCCCCAGTTCCTTTGAAAGCCAGACCTCACCTCAGCTTCAAAGCTGGAGGATTTTGATGGCTCTTTAAATGACGTTTTAGACAAACTGCATAATATCATTTAATTAGGCTGTGTATGGAAACCGAAGTTTTGCAAAAATAGTTTTAAGAGTGGTTTTCAGATGTTGCCCATTTTAAAAGTAGGAAATATGATGTCTTGTAGCTTTGCGCAACTTATTACATGGGCTTGGTTATTGTTAGCAAGACCTAGGGGTTTTGGAACATTGCTTCAGAAGCTGGAAACTCAAACTCTATTCCTGCTTTAGTGTCAGCTGCTCCATGGACACTTGGCAAGTTGCTCAACTTATGCTACCGTCTCCTTTTCTGCATAATGAAGTTTTGTGTTGCAGTTGCACCCCTTCCTCCTTGATTCCTGCTCCACCCACACTTTAAAATCAGCTGCCTCCGAGGGGCAGTGTCATTTCTATTCAGGCACTGCTGGGTGAGGGGTGGGGGGTAAATTGACTCCATGGCTCATTATACTCCACCTAATTCCTCCTCATTTCAGAGGTGTTAATGACCCCTTCTCTTTTTTTAATGGTCTTGAAGGTCCATTAATCAAGCTATTCTTTCTTCTGTAATGTTGCTGTCTATTAACCATTCCTGGTAATATCACTTTATTTCACAGCCCTGCAGACTTTTTCTAGCAAAATTACTGGACCTAGGTTAACATTTCTAAACTTAGGTGAACATTAACAGTGAAATGCTGAATGCTCAAGAAGGCTACATGCTGTATTATGAATCTGAATAAGAGATGCAAATTTAATTGACCAATACAAAACTAATAAGTCTTTTGACTATGTTTGCAAAGTTTATTGTGTTTTTTAAACTTAATGCATAATCTAGCAAATTAGTGCACATTCCAATAGACTTGCATTGGTTTTAAAACATAATAATAAAGCACTGGGCCCCTAGTATATTGGTCAGTCTTCTAGTTTCTTTTTAACTGGAGCAAAATGTTGTGTTGATGCACCACACCAACTGCACACCCCCTTTTCAAAATCCCAGATCCATCCTTGTATGTTAGTAAAGTGTTTTGAGAGTAAATGTTAAGTTGCTAAAAGGCCTAGCTATCAGAATCCCATAAATATAACTACTAGGACCAAGCATCATCTGAACTCTGGAGTTCAGACTAAACTGTAGTCATATTCTCTGCTGACCCTCGAGCTACAATATTCTTGATGTTAGATTGGATTTCTAGCAAGTTACTGTTTTTCAGCACATTATTTTATTTGATATTTCTAGCACATTATTGTTCAGAGCTGAGGTTTTGGTCTGGTCCCCAGTCCAAATTTCTATAAGCAAATTTCTTATGTCACTCACCCCACCAGCATGGCATCAAATATTAGTTTACCTACTTGTTAATGTGCCATCAGGGTGTGAACTACACAGGAACTGCTAAAAAAACAACCTTGTAGTGCAAGGTTAAAGTAATTGTACAAGCAAAAAAGACACCCGAGACATGACAGGAACATGAAATAAAAATCTCTCTTGAACCACTATAGCTAGGAAATACCGATACAAGCCACTGAAGAATCAATGTCCTGAGGAATCACAAAATAAATATCTACATTGGCCTTCTCCTCATGACACAGGCCAGGAAGCTTTTCCAAACCCAGGCATTCAGCTGAAAGTTTAGCCAGATGAGGGCATTTGAGCAGGGGTGACCCAGCTGGTGCAGAAATTATTTGATAGTTAGGTTGACCATAAGGAAATCTGGGGCATCTAGGACATGTCCCCCTCCTCCTCCCCCGCCCTAATGCAGTGCCAAGTCAGTGGTGCTGCTTGGCATCTGCCTCCCCCCAGGACTGTGCCCTGTTTCCCT